GCTAAATCCTAGCAAGACTTAATTCTCAATAAAGATCCTAAAATAAGGTGTTAACCTGAAATTCTAAAATGACGGATTGTCACAGTCTCCCCACGCCAGAAAAATTTCATCCCGAAATTTATGCGTCAAATTCAGATCATGACTTGTTCGAGAATAAGTGGGGATACTGGCTTTTCATGAAATCTTCTCTTTCCCACATATATTCCGGTCCATGCCTGGAGTTCCAACGAACTTTCACAATTGGAATCTTGTTGTGCCTCAACTGCTTGACTTTACTATCAAGGATTTCGACCGGCTCCTCAACGAAGCGTAACCATTCATTAATTTGAATGTCTTTCAAGGGTAAGATCATTGTTTCGTCGGCCAAGCACTTCTTAAGGTTTGATACATGAAATGTATCATGGATGACACTCAGCTCTGGGGGTAAACTTAGTTTGTAAGCCACCGGTCCGATTCTTTTGARAATAACAAATGGACCAACATACCTTGGACTAAGCTTCCCTTTCTTACCGAAGCGTACAATCCCTTTCCACGGAGATACCTTCAATAAGACTTTGTCACCCACTTGAAATTCCAACAGTTTCCTTCGGTTATCGGTGTAGCTCTTTTGTTGGTCTCTTGCAGCTTTAAGTCTTTCTTGGATGATTGAGATTTTATCAACGGTCTCCTGGATAATGTCAGGTTTAATCAACTGTCTGTCACCAACTTCCACCCAGCTGAGTGGCGATCTACATTTACGCCCATACAAAGCTTCATATGGTGCGCACTGGATGCTGGTGTGATAGCTGTTATTGTAGGAGAATTCAACCAATGGCAGATGAGTATCCCAACTGCCCCCAAAGTCTATTACACAGGCCCGCAACATATCCTCCAGCGTTTAGATTGTCCTTTCTGTTTTCCCATCCGTCTGAGGATGATAGGAAGTGCTCAAATCCAATCTCGTGCCTAGTGCTTTTTGGACTGATTGCCATAATCTGGAAGTAAAGCGGCTATCTCTATCTGAAATGATAGAAACAGGTACTCCATGCCGCGACACAATCTCATTGATATACAACTGCGCCAACCTTTCCGTATTAAAGTCTTCTCGAATAGGTAAGAAATGGGCAGATTTCGTAAGTCGGTCCACTATGACCCATATTGAGTCGTATCCCTTCCTCGTTCTTGATTTGTGACGAAATCCATTGTTATCTGATCCCATTTCCATTGGGGAATCTCCGGTTGCTGAAGAAGACCAGATGGTTTCTGATGTTCAGCTTTTACTCTTGCACAGGTTAAACACTCACTCACGTACAAGGCAACGTCCTTCTTCATCCCTGGCCACCAGTAATAATCTCTTAGCTCCTTGTACATCTTATCGGTCTAGGCTCCTAAGCCTGACCCTCAAGCCCTCTCCTAATGTTGTCCGGACTCGGCTTGCCTGGAACCTCCCATAGCTGTTTGTCTTCTTGTCCTGTTTTTCTGGTCGCGTGAGCTCCTTTGCTCTCTTGTCTGTCTTGGTGCGGTCTAGGGTGTGCCTTTTTTAATCCCCTTTTCTTGCTCTTGTGGTTTCCACTGTTGTTTCCCGGTCTTGGCTCGGTTGGGCCCTTCCCTTGTGGTTGGTTTCTTTCCCCCTCTTTCTCTCTCTCCCTCTCTCTCTCCCCCTCTCTTTTTCTTTCTCTTCTCCCCCCTCTTCCTTTCTTTTCTTCTTTTCTTTTCTTTCCCCTCGGGGAGCCTTGGTTTTTTTCTTCTGGTGGTTGAGGTTTGCCTTCCACCCGAGCGAGTTATTGTTTGGCTTTTAGCGTTTTTTCTTGATCTGGAGGGTCTCCCCCCCTCTCTATCAAAAAAAAAACCCTAAACCCTAACCCCTAAACCCTAACCCCTAACCCCTAAACCTAACCCCAACCCTTAAACCCCAACCCCTAAACCCCAACCCTTAAACCCCAAACCCTAAACCCCAATTGTTGTTGTTGGAGTTCGATTACTACTTGGTGGGCTAATGCTACTTGTATTTGTTGGGCCACTGACTTTCTAGACTGGGCCATGAATTATTTTAAGGAGCAATTTTTTGATCCCCTCAATTTGGGCCACTGGGATAGAAGCATTGATTCAAAGATGGCAACCTGGGCTTTTATCTCTAGTTGGGCTGACTTCATGGTGGAAAAAGGTTTTGATCTTTTTATGATTAGAATTTTTATTTCTAATCTTGGTTACTTCAATAGGCCTTTATTAATTGTTTTTCCTAAACACTTCTTAGGTTGTTGCTATCTTACCCTTGTAAAAATGGGTATGCCCATTTCTCTTATGTAATTTCTTTTTGATTCAATAAAAAAATTTCGGGGGTTTCGTCCCCTTTTACCCAAAAAAGAACCCTAAACCCTAAACCCCAAACCATAAACCCTAAACCCTAACCCCTAAACCCTAAACCCTAAACCCTAAACTTCAAGAGATATTATTTGGGATAATTATTTAATTATTCCAAAACACCCAAACGTCATCCTCCACGCGCCTGACATTTTCAACAGTCTGTTCGCTATACAACCCTTCATATTACCCTTCCAACCACCCCATTTAGACACGTGTCCACCTGCATTAATGACAATGTGCAGGATTACGGCCACGATCACCATCACCACTAACTTTTCACCCAAACGTCCCACAACCATAATCATTATCCATTAAAATATTTTTTTTAAACCCAAAAACCACCCTTTCCACTTCCCCACCTATAAATACTCGTCTTCCCCACCACTTACCTCTTTACGCTCTCAAAACCTTCCAAGAACACAGACGACCTGCAAACAAAAACCTGCAACTTCTCCTACAATGGCTTCCTCAGCTTCACACGAATCCCAAAACAACGACATCCACGTGCAATCGACCGGCGCAGACAGCCGTGCACTGGTTTTCCTACCCATCAAACCCAACAATCATGCCATTGACCTATGAACAAACCTGTTTGAAGACAGGTTCGCTATTATGATAGAATTCTTTCATAATTGCATCCTCCAACCTGCACTAACCCTATCTGACAATGACGTACCATTAAAATACGTGCAACAATACTGGCAGACATGCGAGTTCTTCCCGGAGAACCGTGGCATCATGGGGGACATTGATGTCCCAAATGACATGGTTTGCTCGATGAAGATCTCCCACGCAAAAGTTTCAAAAGTGTTATGCATCCCAACTCGCCAAGAACTCAACATTGAACACTACGCCGAGCCACCCACCAGTTCTGACATCCCCCGGTTCATCAAGATGCTAGGTTACAACCGTGACCTACGTAATGCATCAAACTTCAAGAGGCAGTTCTTGCCTCCAATGTGGAACATGTTCTTCTCAATCCTGAACTGAGTCCTTACCTGCAAGATCGGGAGCATGGATCAAGGGAACATTAACATTATGACAATAATGTATGGACTCTTCTTCAACCTACCGCTGGATTACGCCCTTCTCATCTACAATGAGATCCATGCAGTGGTGATCAAGAAGTGCAAGCTCGTGGTCGCAGAAAAGCCACTCTCCTCTATTCTCTTCCTGCGGTTCCTTGCCTTATTTATAAGGGACACGATGAGGGACACAATCTACCGGACGAAGAACCTTTCATGCAACAATACTTAATGAACGGCCATCGCCCAACCATCTCCTTGGGCCGAAGGTATGGACTTATGTCCACCCATTCTAGTTAGTGGCCTAGATTCTCCCAAAGGTAATGTGGTGATGACTTAGCTATATTTAATGAAGGAAATGGAGTGTTGGACCACGAGTTTCGGGCCAATGTTTTCCAGGACGCCCCCAATGGTATACTTTCTCGCCCGTTGCATCCATGTCGGGTAACCACAAAACTTCATCTTCAATGTTAATAAAAAGTTATGCAATGTTAGAAAGAGCTCATACGAAGTTTGGTGGCAATTCAACATGATTTGAGCCGGTTTCAACGATCTGTACGTCGCAAGTTCGTTCGGTCAGCCGATGCATGGCCCCGGCAACGAGAATGGTTTTTTTGATTTCATTCTGATGCCAAACTCCTCACTGACATTGCAGATGGCCCATGAATATCCATGAATCGCGTAGAGAAACCTGATTCGACTGGATTGTCTTTGGAATTTGAACCATGTACTTTTGCAAAGGTTGTTTCTCTGAGCCTTCGAGGGAATGTCGTAGTCATGACTTTGTAACACACCTATATATAAGGGCTACCTCTTCTTTTCCGGGTAGACTATTGTATTCTTGAGTTTGAACCATGAGATTCGAAGTTTTTAGGACATGAGGGCTGGTAAGAGAGAATGAAATTCAATTTACATGTAAAGTGTCTTATAAAATAACTAATGGGACACTTTGTATTAAAAGTATCATAAAAAACTTGTTAAGACCTCCAAAAGCGTCCTATAAACTTCTAGCAACGTCTTTTAATAGAACCCTTTATGTTTTAGTCCTATAAAACCGCCTATCAAGATGCTTTAAAATTGATGGCGTTTTATAAACTTAATTTTGTTGTAGTGTATTTGAAAGTGAAGTTACCTAAAGATGTAATTACTTACCTCACATCTTTGAATTATTGAAAAAGCAAATAGTAAAATGCAACTCACTTATTCTTTAATGGTTTAACCAACTTAGATTTTAATACAACATACATCATCTTGGAAGTATGGATGAATTGGGTGTCATCATTGAAAATTGAATTAGATTGAAGCATTTTTTGGTTATATCTTGTATCTTTTTTCAACTGAATCACCAACTTTATTTGCATCATACCAAATATCCTTTGGCTTAGCGATATTTGAGTCATTGGCCGTTTAGAAGGTCAAGGATTCAAACCTCACCAAAGGCGAGGGGGATGTATGAGTTTATTTGTTCTATTTGCCGTATATAAATATTATATACTTAAAAAAAAAAAAACTTTATTTGCATCATCCTTCTTACCTTGAGATCATATGGAAATTTTTTGGTCACATATTTCTATCCTACTTGAAAAAGGAGAGCACACCAAAAGCAAAATGCATTCAAGAGATACCATCTTGAATAAATTTGGGATCAAACAAATAACCCAAGTCATTCATTACCAATACAAACAACTAATATTAAACATACATCATATGTCCATACTCATGGCAAGCATATAGAAGTAGGTAGGACACCATAGGGGTAAAAGGAAAAGAAAGAAGGTAGAACATCAGAAAGCCTCCTAGAAACTCAAAACAACACAGGTGAAACAAATCACTCACTGATAGTACATGAGTTGTTGGGCAGCTGCAACATTCTGGAAACCACCATCGTAAATGGCCTGGCTTACTCCCGCCGCAGCACCTATACCCATCCCCATCCCCATCCCCATCCCCATAGTTGCTTGTTTAAGAGGATGCTGTCCTTGAGGAGGAGGATGCTGCATCAGCCCATGTATCCCTCCCATCTTGCTTATTGCTAGTTGACGTTCATATGCCAACAAGTCACCAGCTGACAGCATTGGTGCAGGCACAGGTGGGGGAAGTGGGTTTGAGCTCGTTCCAGGAGGAGTCGGCTTGCTGCCCCAAGAGCACTAGATTATTTGCATGCAACAAGTCAGCTCCAAGCACAAATTATTTAACATACTTCAATACTTATTGCATACCTTAATTTGTTTGCCATAAAGAATAGATTGGGTGTTCCCCATTTGAATAGCCAAAGCAGCCTCCCCATGGTTATTGTATCTCACAAAACCGAAACCTTTATCAGGCTGCACTCGGACCTCCTCAATTATACCAGCACCAAGGGAATGGAAGTGGCGATGGAGCTCAAGCTGAGTAACCTGCAATTAAAATACAAAATTGTAATTGATATCCATCAGTTACCATCCACACATACATCTTTCCATCAAGTATAATACCAAAATTACATGCAAAACATCACTATTTCTTTTGTATTTTTCCTGCTTGGAGCAGCAGTGATAAAATACATGCCTAGAAAATACACAAGGATAACAATGATCAATGAAACCTCCTAAATAAGGTTGTTAAAGGCTCAAGGCGCACTTAGGCGCAAAAGGTCCCGAGGCCTAGGCACGGGGCGCAGGTGTGAGGCGCGGGCCTCAGGAATGTGGGGTGCATCTTATAAAAAAAGTATATACCCACACACACAGTTATACACAACTCAAATATGTAGCAAGCATTCCGGTGTAGCAATCAGCAGTACTTTGATAGAGGCAGAAGGGGGGAAGGGTTTAAAGCGTGAGCTGAGTGAGAAGTTTTAAGGTCTGGGTATTTATAGAGAGCTATGTTGTTATATCGGTCCGAATACAAAATATCGGTCAGGACCGATATTCGATATATCAGTTATATCGGTGATATATTGGTCCAAAATAGCGGTTAACATAATATTTCTTAGAATTATATATATAATATGCATTAATTAGAGTTTAGAAATATAGTTTCAAAATTAAAACATCACATCATCTAAAGTGTTCAAAAACGAGCTAATCGCAAGCAATAGGTTCGGCATCCAAGAAAAGAAGCCAAACCGTGACTACGTGAGAAGTCTGAAGTCGTGATTCGTGAAGTGAACTAGGTGTCTGTGAAGTGTGAAGTCGTAACTCGTAAAGATGAAAAGAAAGGAAGAAGACCGTTGGAAGAGAGAGGTTTGAAGTTATAAGAACTGGGTATCTAATATTAGGGTTTGACTTATGTCATCTATTTAGACACTCTTTTTTAAGATGTCTAGGAGATAAGAAGATGAGAAAACTTATTTAGATTTAGGGGGTTTGACTTGGTATTTAGTGACTCTTTATGAGGCACGCCTAGGCCTAGAAGGCGCCTCAGCCATGGGGCCTTAGCGAGCCAATACGCCTAGCCTCGACTTTTAAAAAAAGCCCAAGACCTTGAGCCTTATGAGCCTCAGAGCATAGGCGCACCTCAGGCACACTTTTAACAACTATACTCCTAAATCACAAATAAGTCAAGATACCATAATAGCCCATATCTATACTTACTATATTATAAAGCATTTAGGTAAAACTCTTAAATTTCAAGAATCCAACATCTATGAACCACCAAGTACAAATCACTGATGCATTAGAGTGTAAGAGTTAAATCTTTAGAGTATGGTTGTAATTGTGGGTGGTTTGAGAGATGAGTATGTGTGATTGTAAAAAATTTCACATAGTGGATATCCTCTCCAGAGGCTCGTGATCCAATAAAAAATAAAATAATTTTAGCATATTTAGCCATTAATTTTCATTACATTTTCCTCTTTAATGAGGAATTGCATTAATTTTCCATCCTCAATTTACAATAACATTTAAATCCTACCGCATCTCACAGGTACACAATTAGTATACCAACATACATGCATGGAGAAACAAGCCGACACTTGCTTGACACCATGATTATGGTTTAGAATCATCCCACAGCTCGCACACACAAAGGTACAAAAAGTTCTGCTTGTAGCTCAGAGCAACTTATCTTTATACTAAAATCGAGCTCAATTCCATCCAACAAAGCTATTAGCATAATTAGTCAGGCTAAACGTCTCAAGGGTATGTCCCAGTGCAAAAATAAGTCGCTCTATAAGATATGAGGGCTGCTATCTGAATGAAAACGTTGTGAAAGTTCATGGTTCTAGACCAAAATTAGATGGAAAAAGCACAGCAAATTTTCAATTTATAGATTCCATCAAAATTAAGTAGCCAGCTATAAATGCTTCATTTAGTTGACACGTCTCCAAGATTGATCACAAAAATGTAAGGAATGGATAAGAAAAACCTGCTAAAAATGTCGAGGGCTGATTAGAGCATTGAAAAGAATAATATTTCATTCTAACCATGACAAAACGAGTTAAGTCCTGTTTATGGCCTGTGCAACATAATCACCATATACCTATAGCTACATCGTCAAGAAAATATAATTCTTACTTCTGGTGCAAGGTTGCCAACATAAACAGTGGTATATTGTGGGTTGTTCTCAGGAGCATCACCATTAGCAGGCTCCTTACCATCCTCTGCAAAATAAATCATATTAGAACAAACAAATTATACTCAAAATGACATCTTCGTAGTTTTTATTATTACTTTACTAGTACTACATACCTGAAGACCCATTTGTTAGCTCCACCACACTTTTAGAATCTGAGGCCTGCTTTTCATCACTAGTACCAGCACCTTTGGTAGCCCAATTGCAGCGTATCTGCCTACTGCCAAGCCACTTCCCTGATAAAACAAGGACAAATGAAGAGGGATGTAAAATGTAGTATAGGCAAGTAAAATCAAAACTTGCAATCTAACGGCGCATCACAATACTTCAGATAAAAATAACTAAATTCAAAAACTCCAATTTTATAATTTGTGAACATTTGAAAAATTAACAAACACAAAACAGAAACTTTTAAACTCTTACCAGTTAAGTCATTTATAGCACTTTGAGCATCCTGAACAGAAATTAATAAGGTCAGATTTTAGTTGAAAACTTGCAACAATACTATGCAGAAAGAGAATAGTGAGATAAATTTTAAGCCTCCTGATCTTTTCCTGGTAAACAGGTAGAGAGAGAGTTGCACATAAGGGCTGGTAGGGTCGTAAAACTGACTTTCAGGTAAGCTTCCAGTGGTTCTACGGAATATACTTTGTACATGTCTCTCTGCCTGTGTTAAGAAAAGGAGTGACAGATATGTGCCACCATTTTCTACAAAAGTGAATTCCAACACTCAGGAAAGTTTCAGTTACTAAAAATAAACCTGTTGGTTCCGGAAGGAAACAAACCCAAAACCTCGTGAACGACCAGTTTTCTGATCCCACATAACCCTCGCATCCCTATAATAGAGCCACATACATGAAAAAGAGTATATGACTGTGTGTGAGATACCGGAAGATAGAAAGTGAGAGGAAGAGGAAAGAGATGCACTCACGAACAACTTGCATAAACGGAGAAGCATGCATACAACATAGCATCAGTAACCTCAGGGCTAAGATCACCAACAAATATGTTGTAGTGACCTGGAAACCAAGAGTAGGAATGTCATGATTTCGAAATATCATAATGATAGTAACACCTAGTGATAATTACTCAAGGCAGTGTATAAATGCCTAACCTTTACACAAATCATTCTAAAAGAAGATAAGCGGCAGATAACACCTACCTGAGGTGTCCTCCCTCTGTCCACTGGCATATGCCCAATTAACTTTAATAGGTTGTCCAAACCTGAAAATAACATCAATAAGAAGTGGTAAAGTAAGATAGTAGAGCAGCACATAACTCTATCAAAAACACTTACAAATGCCTCCCGTTTAGAGATAATATAGCAAGCGCAGCTGATCTACGATCGAAGTAGTGTATGAACCCATAAGATGACTGCAGAGAAGGAGGAAAACAACAGCCCATACACAGGGTAGGTAAGTGGAAGGGAAAATGCATCATAATTCAACATACATCCCCAGTACTAATTTTGAAGTGATTCATCTGCAAAATTGATGAAAACTTTTGAGGCTAGTTAACAAAGACATAGCTACCTTCTCTTTTCTGATGAGTTTGCAGCCTTCAACAGGACCAGTACTTGCAAAAACCTCTTGAAGAAGTGGTTCAGTCACTTGCATATGAATGTTCCCCACATACCTGCAATTTCTCAAAAATAAAGAAACTAGAAGTTTTAAAAAAAGAAAACAAAGAAAAGTACTTTTAGCTGTAGAATATTCCCCATATACACATAAAACAAATAAACATCCTAAATTTAACACTTTGTATACCACAACTATAAACTTGAGAATCTGTATTATAAAGGGATACCAATTTAAAACAACAAATGGTTGGTAAAAGGAGCAATCAAGGCTTTTGTCATGCTTAAACATGCAAATGAAAAAGAAAAAAGGAACTAGTAAAATCATCTGTAAACCACTCACACACTGCGGCATGTATTTGGATCAAACCCAGGAGGCAGATTTCCACTTGGGATTGGCTCAATCTGCAAAATGAAAACGTGAAAAAAGGAAAAAGACCAAAAAATAGCAAGCTAAGAGTAAAAAAGGATAACGAATCCCACTAACTAGAGTAAATCAGACCCAAAGAAGAATGGGTAAAAAGGGCAAAGTGTATCCACTGCTAAACTACACACCAGCCACCAAAAAAATCACTCACAAAACAAACAAATGCCCACACAATTCTCCTATATAAGCTAGAAAGGTAAATGTTCAAGAAAACTCATGCAAGAAAATCAGGAGAAGACTTCCTCAGCTTCACAGCAATGCCTAGGAAGACGGTAACTAGCTTGAGATAGAAGGTTTTGCTGTGATTTTTAGCAATGACATTGATTACCTATTTTCCACGACTATCCAAAGTACATATGCATCTCTGAACTCGTAATATGACACAATAACTATTTCAGTTCCTTACAAACATTTCATAGTAATTATGTATCTAAAAGAACAGGATTTTAAATATTTGTGCACCCATTTGGCTAACTGATAATACAAGTATCCACCAAGACAAAACTGCAATAAAACTGTTTCGTCGTCTAAACAGCTATTTTGAAACAATATCCAAAGGAGTGATGAAATGATCAAATTCAATGCAGAACTGACTATAGCAATGCCAATTAGAGAACTCCCAACAAGGTATTTCTTCAACAGCAGGAACCTACCGAAATGCTTAAGAGTCAACCATAAAATAAATACTTCGCCCCCTAAACTTCTAATGATCAAACAAGAAGTCTGAGAGGAAGAGAAAAGAATTGCATACTAGATTTTATTTTATTTTATTGTGACCAACAAACAGAACGCACGTATTAACCAATCTTATGCTATATATGTAAGAAAAAAATTGAACTCCAAAACCAGAACTGCCAACTTCCCAGTCCCATATCCAAACAAAAACTCTAGGGCTAGTAGCACCGGGTGCGCCTAATAGATATTAGCAATGGTAACACTAGTCCCCAACAATGAAAAGCAATATGATCATATAAGAAAGAAAACCCACCAATCAATAAAGCTAAAAATGACTGACAAACACTATGAAGCAAATGAGACTCTCATGAACAAGGCATTAACTCAATCTCCTACAAGACAAACAGTTCAACTATGACCTGATTAGTAAAAGATCAAAAAAAAAAATTAGGAGCTCTAGTGTCAAAATGGAAATGCCTCAAAATGCCATTGCACATCAACTAATCCCTAATCCAATGTGTCAAAATTCTAGACAGGCATGTTTAACTGAAAGAAAATTTTCCTGATCTAAGAAACCATCAGTTACAACTCAACAAAGGCACGGCACAATACGGGAAGAAAGGAAGGGGAAGACATCATTCAGTCAGAAATTAAAATGTACCAGCTTGGTTCCAAGCAAAGAGCTACCAATTGACACTTTGAATATCATATCAGATTTTTGAAGTTAGAAAATTTCTAGGATCCAACATTTCCTACCAATTTTTGATAACCACGTAAAATTTATAACAGAGACTTATAAATTTAATAATGTTAGTCTTAAATAAGTAACAAATCCAAAATCAATCCTGTATTTCATAAGTAATGGGTTAGATATCAAAAGACTTAAATGCAGCTCTGCTTTGATACGTCAAGAGTAAATTGAACTTGGGAAACCAACTAGTCCAAATCCTTTGCCTTTGACATAGTTGAATGGCAACAAGATCGACAAAATTCAATTACGACAAAATATAACATTTCTCAGATAAAAACGCAACAATTCTAATTCCCTGGAAATTATCACAACAAACAAAAAATCACAGGCAGGGCGATCATAGTTCGATGATCAATAAACAAAATCAAATCCCTAAGTTCGCAAATGAAAATATCAACATACAAAAATATGAACCCATGAGCATGTGAATTCGTAGAGATACATTATATAATCAAAATAAATGGTGCGTGCAAACCTGTGGAGGTGCTAAGAGGCCAGGATGATAGAGAGATTGTTGTTGAAGGAGAGCTTGTTGCATCAAAGCTTGCTGTTGTTGTTGCTTCAGCCTCTGATGTTGATGTTGCATTTTTTGAGCACGAAGATTATCCTTCGAGATCGGGTTAAATGTGTGTCGAATTTGGGGGTTAGGGTTTCAATATACTGAATAAGATCGATAGAACAAGCGGCCTCGGGAAAATAAAATGACAGGAAAGAGAGAGTATCAAAGCAAGCAAATAATTTAACAAAATGATAGTAATTGTCCCTTGATTCTTGTAAACTAGCAGATTTGTCCATCAACTTCCAGTTTTTCATCGATGTTCCTAAAATGCAAAATTTACAACATTTTGGTCGTTGAGCAAGTTGGTTTTACAAGTTTGATAGTTTTTTGTGATGAATTTGGATGTGCAGTTATCAAAATCGAAATTTCAATAAAAATATATTGTTACTTAAAGCGATCAACCAAACATACAAGTATCCAACATAACTGATGCATTATTAAAGTTATATTAAATAGTGTTGATAGAAGATGAATATTTGTCATGATAAAAAGTAAAACAGGATAAATACAATGATATAAATCTCGTCAACTTTGAAGAAGGGGAAAACATCATCTAACATTGATATTCTTGGAACATTAATTAATTGCAGCTTACTACTGGATATCGACATGTCTACTGTCTGACGGATTAATAATGAAAACATCATCGTAATGTCAAGTTGTCAACGGAAAAAATGTTAGGGAATTTTCTGATCTATAAACCGTCCCTAACTAACGATCTGCTCATGTTTGAGGATGATGAATCACTTCGTGTCGACCTGTTGCCAATAAACTTTCCGGCCTCATATGAGAATGGAAAACTAGAGCATTATATATATATATATATATATATATATATATATATATTATCGACCATTTTTGGTCGGTGTACCACCGCTCAATTTCTGACTATTTTTCCACCGATGGTTTTTCATCAACAATGTTCCCGTTGGAAATTTGTCGATAATTTTTCCATGATGATTAATCGATAGAATTTGTCAATCAACATTTCATAAACTCGGGAACCCCATCAAGATCATATAGAACATCATTCCCACCTGCCTTAGACTCCTTGGGTTGAATGTCACAATGGGTCTAAAATATTCCAACAAATTGTTGTACCATCCGCATTTGATATGATCAGGAGCTTCACTTTGAAGCTCAAGCCAATAGTTAATTGTCGTTTTTTGTTCCTCTCAAATCTCCAACTCACAATCAACCATAACATCACTTAAAGCCTCAAACTTATTACTAGTCTTCATTACTTTAGAACTAGTATTTGGTATTGTGCGTTGCATGGTGATAATACTTTCTTGTAGGAAATATTAGACTACGACTTTTTATCGGCAAACTTTGTTAATTTTCAAATAGAAAAGTTTTTCCTTTAATACAGTTGTCTCTATTTTTTCAATCTTCCATCCCTCCTAATATGCACACCACCATCTTATTTTTATTATCCTATGTGGGATAATCAATCCCAACACTATAATTCAAGATTTTAGAATAGTAAGTGGGCGTTTAGTTTGTAGAATGAAATTTTGTGGAGTTGAAATCCATCAAAGAAATTTGACTTTGAAGGAAGTGTAATGGAATTTGACCATGTGTTTAGTTGGTATAAAATGGAATGGAATCCCTCAAAAGATTTGGAATCTCCATTAATGGCATGACCATATTGGTGGTCGGAGGGCTGGTCGCCCCACTCCACCCACCCCCTGCCTCGCCACTTATCCCACTCATCCAACCTCGCTCAGCACCCTATCATGCGTCTTACTCCCGCACCACCCTACCCTAGCCTCGCCACGCCATAACCGTCACCCATCCCACCCCTGGTCCCCGCTAGCCATACACTACCCCACCTACATGGTAGGGGTAGTTGTGACGATGGCAATAGTCGCATAGCGGTTGGTAAGGTTAGGTGGTTGGGACTCGAGGTGGTATAGTAGTTGTGAAGACGACAATAGTGGCATGGTGGTCGATGAGGTGGGGTGGGTGATGGTATTTATGACGACAACAACAGTGGCATGGTGGTTGATAGGGGTGGGTGGCAGGGTGGTAGTTATGTTGACGATAGTATTGGTATAGTGGTTGGGTGGTAGGATGGTGTAGGTGGGTGGCAATTGTGGTAATGACAATTGTGGCATGGTGGCCAATTGTGGGTTGGGGTTAGGGTGGTGTGTGTGGTTGTGACAGCGACGTAGTGGTGTGGTGGTGGGGGGGCTTAGGGGTAGGGGAGTGACAGTAACAATAGTAGCATAGTCGTGGTGGGTGAAAGGGTGGTCGGTGTTGGTTAAATTGGATGCAAAATGATGAAATTCAATTCCTTTCATCATGCAAAGAAATGATGAATTCATTGATTTGTAGAATTCGATAGAATTTGAAGGGAACCAAACAAAAGAATTGGAATTTGGTCAAAAGAATTTGTCATTCCAATTCCATCAAATTCCTTCAAAATCCGTGAACCAAACGGCCCTTAAAAATTTATCATGTAAGAAATATTTGACATCCTTCTCCGTGTATAATCATCGTCATGTTTTAACATATCATCTTTTTATCAATGTGAGATAGTTAAAGTTAACCACACTTCGATATTTTAAAGTTTTCAATATGTATTATGTCATGTCATTTCTCTTGGTTGTTATTTGTATGTATATATGTATGTATATATATATATATACACTAGAAGGGTACTCGCACAATGCAACGAGATACATCTCAATTTTAATGTTTCATTTTATTTATTTTTTTGTCTCGGTCGATGTTATAAAAAATTGAAAAAAAAATTGATATTAGTACCAAAATGACTTTAAAATTTCTCTTTTTTGTGTATTTCTTTAATTCAATTTTTTTTGTTTAATAATATAATTTTTTAAAGATAATAATTAAGCATTTTGTTAAAACTCAATGATTATCTTTATTATATTTTAAATATTTTATATTTAAAATAAGATGTTTATCTTATATTTGATTATGTTTATTTGTAGTTAGTTACACGAATTCAAACATTAAGCTTTAATAAGTTGTACTTACGCAAAATTTTCTTGTAACCTTGATTTTTAAGTAATATGCATCAATAAACAGTATTTCAAGCACAAAAAATGGTTTTTAAAATTTTTTGTCAAATGTTTTATAATATAGTATTTATATATAGAGAGAGAGAAAAGCAAATGACGACCACAAATATTGTGATAAACATGATGACCAATCAAAATCCAACCATTTTATTTAATAAATAATTAATAATAAAAGGTAAAATGGTGATCTCAGTTCTAAATGACAACTAAGCATTAATTTTCACATATAAATATAAAACAATTACTTTTTTAACTAGATGAGTTCGTCTGTGATAATTTAGTTCTTTTAGGTATATCTTTGTTGCATCATCTGATTTCGGATTCAATTGATTTTAAATGAATTCTATGTTAGAAAGAATGCAAGCTCTGATGAACACAATGGATGTTGTTTTCTCATATGTAGCAGGGTCTCAAGTTTCACATGTTGCTTCACATCAATGTTTTATAGTGTGAAAGACCATTGTACCACTCGCCCCCACCTCACCTACCACCATGCTCCTATAACCGGTTACATAACCGGTCCCGGTCTTAACCGGTCTCGGTCCTAAAAAACGTTAAAAACCATAATCGGATCATAACCGGCGGTCTTCAACCGGTCCCTACCGGTCCCAGTCCCTCTCCAGTCCCGGTTCCGGTCCTCCGGTGGTTACGGGTCGGGCCCATTTGGCCATCTCTAATCACAACTACTATCCCACCAACCACCATGCCACTACTTTTATCATCAAAACTACCCTCTCACCTTGGTGGGGTCAGGTGTGGGTAGGGGACTGAGGGCAGGGGTGGGGTAGGGCGTTATAGGACAGAGGGGCAATGGTGAGTACGAGTTGGGGGTTGGGTGTAGGGGGATGGTGAGGTGGCAGACGGTGTGGGGGCAAGACGGGGGTGGGCTGGGGTGTTCTGGTGCGAAATCCCACAAACATATAATTTCGAAATCCTTTCGGGGTGCTTGGTACATTATAGCAAAAAGAGCGTTATAAGTCATTTTTTATGACACTTTATTAGAAGCGTCTTATAAAACCATTTTTAGGACGCTTTGTTTTATGTGTTCTTATTGATACAATATGATACAACACTTCATTTATGAGCCTTATTAACCTAGTATGGCGTCCTATTATTATAGAATCTAATAGGATACTTCTCGAAAAGCGTCATATATTGAAAAAAATCTAATAAACATTTTTCAAAAAATGTCCTAAAAATAGTTGATAGAACACTTAATTTGTAGGTCATGTTATTTAAAAAGGCGTCATATAAAACCAAGTTTAATATGACACTTTTCAAAAAACGTCCTATAAAACCAAGTCTAATAGGAAACTTTCCTAAAACGTCCTATAAAACCAAGTCGAACAGGACGATTTGCAAAAAGCGTCTGATAAAACCAAGATATTGAGCATAAAAGAACATCATAAATAAATATTCATTAATCATATGTTAAATATATAATAGGCCCATTAATTTAGTTTCTGAAAAACAAGTTTTAAGTCCACTCTCAGTCTATTTAGTTAGAGGGCGTTTACCAAACGCTTACCCGGGTAAGCGCTACCAAGTAACATTGCCTCATCGGATGAATATGGTAAGGACCAAGAGTCTTACCCGGTAAGTGACGGCGACGACTCTTACCACGGTAAGCGCTTACAACATAAAAATTGTTTTCTTTACAGGAACTGTAACATTGGAATCTACTCTCCGTTATAAATTATCCACATCAACACCCAAACCAAATGTTAACCAGTATAATTTCCTCAAAACAGAAATCCAAAAGCCATATCAGTTTGGTAAAGAGCCACTGTTGTGCATAAAAACTCCACTTCTGGTCCACACACTTGTATACCAGCAGCCAGAAATCCAAAAATTGTATTTTCCCTTTTAACTTTGCAGTCTTCAACTGCCAGATTCTTTTTAAGTAAACTATACCACTCCATCCATCCTTATAACTCCCAAACAGTGGACTAATATAGTGTCTTGATTGAAACCATGAAAGCAAATCATTAGAAAGGAAAATCCACCTTGTAATATTCACATAGCAAAAACATCTGAATGCAATCCCCATATAGAAAGACTTATGCAAGTTAAAGCACACTCAAACAAGATGTTGCTCAACATAAATAAACCATGGAAATAAGACAAAACCATTAATCGTATACACAGGAATTCATGTTTTTCATATTGTTTTTTTATCAATAAATCAAAGACATGTGATTTGAAATATAAAAATCTACTATTTAGCTTGTGAGTTTTGGGGAGGCTAAAACTGATCAAGGAAGGATTCTCACAATAATTTATTTTTCCTTTCAATTTTGAAATATAAAAAGCCGCTACTTTGTTTCCCACTTTCCCGGCCTGCAAAATCCATCCCAAAAACAACAATTGTGCTTGTCACTTACGACTTGTGTATTAACATCGCCAAAACGCAGCGCATTTCTTAAAATTTCCAAAGTGTACAACAAGGAATGGGAATTAAAGATACATTGACACAACACTCAAAGAGATTTCAATAATCACAATTCACAGATCTAATATATACCAATCTAGTTCAGGACGTTTTCAAATGATAGAAAAGATAGATTGAAAGTACCAACCTTCATAATTGCACCATAAACGATAGCTAACATCATCTATAGACATTGTGGCGTTGGTCCATCCATTTGATCCTGAGTGCACCAAATGACATAAATTAGTAACATACGTTACCATTAAAGACCTAAATGCTAATGTCTATAGATAATCACACAAGCACAGTCTAAATGACAAAACATGGAAAAGAAAAAGAGAACAAAGTACTACATGGTTCAACAAATTGATTTTGTCCACAACTATTTCTAGATTTCTATTGTATATGCTTCTTCACCAAAAGAGCTTCCATTCCAATTTCTATGTTGATCCATAGCAGTTCTTCAAGGAATTTACAGGAAATTTGAGTTGGGGTGTTTGAGAAAGGGCAGAGTTTGAATCATCATAGTGTAGGGAACATGAACAATTGAGTGAGAAGCAGTACCAACGTTAATCACTTCTTGGACACATAAACCCGCTCTTAAAACAACTGTACCTTATGCAAATGAAATTTGAATCATATAAGTGACTGCAAACAACAAACAAAAAGCAAGTGTGGTTTCACCCAACATGCAAATTCTAATCAAGAGTGGTTTCACCCATTTATAAAGCCCATTTTATGGGTTTTGTTTCCATGATGTGTGGATATAAATGGATACACCAAGCATGTGTGGAAAAAAAAAACACAGGGAGAGGGAGAGAGGGAGACACCCGGGGTTATTACAAATTCTTACCACAATAGCCTGACCAAATCCTAGCTCAAGATGACCTCCATTCTCATGCAGAGCAAAATGCATATAGAAGAAACCTTAATTTGCATTGGTTTTTGCCCATTTCATGAACTCTTGTAGTCACCTGAATCAATTAAACCTTTTCATCAAAATTTCCCATAATATTTCCAAAATTACCATTAGAAATGGTGCTTTCAATTTTGTGAAAACTGGTAAGTTACATCGTATATCAAAACCTCTTTAACCGGTAAGTTTTGTTGTTGCAAATATGAAGAGATGAGTAGAAATTTTAGATAAAGATAATACGATCTTTAGATAGAGATTATCATTTTTACCAACTCTACATATAGACAAACTAAAAAGAAAACTACTATAGACATAACTCAAACAACAAGTAAAACGAATAAAAAGAAAAGATGTTAAGTTGATCGATGATTCAAGAAGAGATGAGTTGATGATACCTGGAAAGCGATGGCTCAATGATAGCGGCAACAGCAGGTCCAACCTCTTTTGGCTTAGACTTAACAACAGCAGCAACAGTGGGTTCAACCTTTTGGCTTGACGACAGCAGCAACAGTGGGTTCTGCTACATAGGTGCATTTACTTGGGACTGTATAGGTGCATTTACATAAAACAGAAAAGTTAGTATCTATACTACATATATGTAAACAGGTTAATATTAGACTGTTTCTTTGTGTTGCCTAAAGTAATAAAGAAATGAAATGATCTCATGGTTTTTGGAGTAGTGTTGGCACAGGGATTTGTACTGGTTTTTCAGTTCTTTGTGATTACCTGGGACTATATAGGTGCATTTACATAAAACAGAAAAGTTAGTATTTANTGGGACTATATAGGTGCATTTACATAAAACAGAAAAGTTAGTATTTACATATAGGGGTAGTATAGTATTTACATTGATTAAATCTACAATATATACATTGATTAAATCTACTATGTTTTATATCTTGTATGCATGCATTGCAGCAGGGGTATGTGTGTATGTATGTATGCATTGCAACAGCAGGCACACAGATGGTTACTTGTGTTATGTGTTATGTGTGAATAAGTCCCTTAAGGGTTTTGTAAATTGTTACTTGAAGATGGTGTATATAGTCATATGATTAGTTTAAGTCTTTGAGTTTTGCCTGTCTGAAGTTCCCTGATCTCACTTGATCACACGTACAACGCAAATATGAAGAGTGGCCTCAAAGGAAATATACTAAACCCCTTCCCCTGGAACTGTAAATAATTTTTGATATCAAACAGTTTACTTGCAGCAGGCACAGTTCATATAGAATATAACTGAATTATAACACAATTTACTTAATACAACTGAATTTTACAGCAGGCACGGTTCATTTAAAATAGAAGGAACTTACTCATATAGATATCAAACAGTTTACTGAATACAACTAAATTATAAAACCAAGTTTGTTCATATAGACATATAAATGGACCAAACAGAAAGTCTCATCTGCTTGCATCCTTTTTCTTAACAATCATGGTTTATAATATTTGATTAAGCCCTTCATTGTACACATTTAAATCAATTAGTTGCAACAATAATTAACAACACCAGGTGAGCTGGAACCCATGTCCTTTCACTTCATTTCACATGTTTGTTGACCATTGAAAATGTTGAAAATGCATATTTGACTTGGATGGAATTAGCTATCTGGTTTGTAAGTCCATAACCAGACAGCAGTCCCAAACAGTTCCTCTCAAGGCAGAAATAAGCAAACAGTAATAAATGATACACATGGTTGACACAAGCAGAAATAAGCAAACAGTCCAAGAATGGAACCAGAGCCTGACACAAGCATTCCCACAGCAGTAAATGATACAAGCATCTTGATAATATGCAACAAGCATTCAGTTTCTGTTTCTTAAACCTGCAGGGCTAATATAATACCTNGCATTCCCACAGCAGTAAATGATACAAGCATCTTGATAATATGCAACAAGCATTCAGTTTCTGTTTCTTAAACCTGCAGGGCTAATATAATACCTATGCATACACACACACAGCAGGGCTATTCAATCTTGGACTTAGCTATTTGACTTAGATGGACTTAGCTATCTGGTTTGTAAGTCCATAACCAGACAGCAGTCCCAAACAGTTCCTCTCAAGTTAGCACGAATTGGAAGTTATGTTACATTTAGATTTAATCAATCTCAATCCTTTTCATCAATCAGAATGCATGAATGTTTAATATATTTATGAGTCACATCTTAATTAGTATTTCATGTTATAGTCAAGATTTCACCAAATCAAAATAACAACATTATTACATTAACAGAACAGTCTGCACTACATTATCAGCTGTTTACACCATCACGGGTCTGTCTCAGTTCAGCAGTTTAATTATTTTTTGTGTGTGTGTAAGATGAAATGGAGTCGCTGCAGTTTCAGTTCAGCAGTTTCACAGTCCCTTGAATGTAAATCCTCATACATATGTATCTATATCTATATATATATATATACACACACACTGTGCACACACACCTATTGCTAACTCACTAACAATCTGCTGACAGGGATAATATGCTGTGTGTGAACAGGGCTAATATGCTGTTTTAAGTGGATACAAACGGTTTACTTGCAGCAGGCACAGTTCAAACATCAAAACCTTATATGGAGTTTGTTATGTTAATCTAAAAATATCTCCATACACACACCAGAAGCAATTAAATTGATGGAGCTATGCAGCCACTTCAAACATCAAAACCTTAAATGTACAAATACATATGCACACACACACACATACACATGTAACAGGGCTAATGTGTTTTGTTTCTGTTTCTGTTTCTGTGTGTGTGCATAATAGCATACATGTGACTGTTTCTATATCTATATCTATCTATATCTATATCTATGCTGTGCGTGAACAGGGGTAATATGTTTGGTGCATTAGCTTCTGTGTGTGTGTATAAGATGAAATGGAAACAACATATTTTGTATATGTTTCTAAGTTATAAATGTATATGTTTCCTTGTTAATAACTTTAAGTTAAGGCAACTGTGTATTTTACATTCTTCCTATTTAAGCTAAAGGTTTGTAATGAAATTCTCAAGCTTTTTCATTATCATAGTTTTTATATTATAGTGGTGGTCTTAGACAGCAGATTCATGTTTTCATTATCATAGTTTTTATATTATTGTGCATCAAAAGCCATATATAAGATGTATGCTGTTATGCACACACACACATGCACATGTTTGCTGTTTGCAAATGAAAAGGTTATTCTGAAAAAGACCTCTGGTTGAAACAATTCCTGTTTGCTTTCACTGGCCTTTGACTGGTCTCTTTGTTGATGAGCAGTAATATTACAATGTAAATGTGTAGTCTCTGTGTCACACAGCTAGCTCAAACTTTATGTGATATGTATTGGCAGCTGTTATATGTTCATGGACAGAATATGGAACAGTATGATATATGTGCACAGAGAGAGATTAGTAGACCATGAAGAAACAGGCAACCATTATGCACAAGAACCATGCTCCAAAGATCAACCATCACAGTTACTTGCTGTCTAAACAGGCAAACATTATGCACAATGTGAAC